ATAATTAAGACTATGCTCCTTAATCCGAGGCGGAAGAAAAGAAAAAATTGAACAATATATAGTGTTAGCATTCCTGGGTTATGGCGTAAAGAGATTTGTCCGACGAAAAAAGACAAGAAAAGAAAAAAAAATTCTCCCCATACTCGGCATAACGACCGTACCCGGATGTTACCCACTAGAGAACCATAAAATCGCTTATGTCGAAGTTGTTATTATATAAAAGGACTTATAAGGTAAGTTGGATCCAGAACAAATCTACGGTGTCATTTTGGTGTCACATTATCTTATCTCTGTTCTGTACATTCAGTTTCCATGACCAATATCTCTCTAACCTCGTCGTTTTTGTTTCAACTGTAACAGTTCTAGTTTCATGTGAAAAACCGAAATTTATAGGTGTGGTTACAATGAATAAAAATGACAATCAAGGTAAAATGGAACAGTAGTTAGGACCACAGTTTGTCTTGGGACCCTCACTAGTTGTTGTCTTCAGAAACAGGGAAGGTGAAGTTCACAATCGGTTACTGATTCTGTGAGATTATACACAATCTCAATTCATCCAGTGATCTATACGTTATACACAATCTCCAATCTCCCTCGGCACACCTTGATCATGAAAATTTCAACATTTTACGAATAACACATCAGGAAGAGCTCGGTGGTGTCCTAGTTATCTGACTATATCCACAAAAAGGACATCATCGCCGCTATGATAAATTGAAAAGTACTGGGCACTGTTGTCGAGAAAAAACCACACAGAGAGAAACCGAGAAAAACGGCCGTGGGTGGACGGTATAGGTATGATTTAGAGGCGATCAAAAACTCTTCACCGGAGGTACTACGATAATAATAAAACAAGAGATGATTACACCCTCACAACTGAACCTTCCCAGACTCCAGAATACCCCCCTTCAGACTCCCGGCTCTTACCTATAATAAATACGCCAGTTCACACACCATGAAAACACCTGTTTACGTGAAAATATAAACACAGGTCTGTTGTACATATCGCGTTTAAAGTTAAATTCTGCTATGATAAAACGCCATCCTGTTCTAAACCACATCAAGGATTATTTCTGAGACAGTATGGAGCTCAAATGCTTTTCTCTTGTGGGTTTATCACAAGGTGAGTTCCTTTTTTTATTTCCTGCTTTTTAAAACACATGTGCTCTCCAGTACAGGTTAGCTCTGAGTGTTAGCGAGGCTTGCTAATGTAAACAAAGACGAGATTACGTCCAAAACACGTCAGGCATTGTTTCTGATAGCAACTCTATGTGGGTCCGCCGCCGATTTGACGTCATATCGGCAGCAAATCTGTATCCGCTCGTTGTACCCCCGTTTTTAAAAGATTTGGGTACGTAGGAAAAGAGAGAGGGTTTTATTTTCTGACGCTGCGTGAGTTCCCCGACACACATGGACAAATATGTATGTATAAAAGACGTGAAAAAGTGCATTTTGCATGATAGGTCCCCTTTAATACTGAAACATAGACATGTTTTTTCACAACTGTGACTTGAGTCTCAACATTACATCTTTATCTCGAGATTATAAGGAAAAACCTATTTTCTTTTCCGTTTTGATTACACTTCATTCGTTTATTCTTTCACAAAATCCCCCCCACTGCCAAATGTCTCCACAGTGCTAGCTAGCCCCATTAACTGTCTAAGGGCTGAAACCACAGGCATTGCCGACCCCTTGGAACACATGAATAAAAAAAGAATACAAGAAAAAAGATTCACAAGAAATAAAGGAAGAGAGATGATGGCAAACAGCCATGCCTTCCATGCTTCTGTAAATTGCTTTGTAAAAGAAAAAAAAGAAATGTCAGTACGGCTTGCATCGGTCCTCCGTCATCGCTTATAATGGAACATTCTAGGCTGCACACAACTCTTCCCTCCAGCCATGCAGGTACATAGGGGTTGTCCTGAGTCCTCTCCCCACATGAGACCCTCTTTATGCAGAGTGAGGCCTCATGCTCTGAGGCGGGACAGCAGGACAGAGCCTATGGCGCCACACGTTGAGCATGTAAACCACATCAGGCTACTTCAGTGCTAAATCCTTTTGGTAGTGAGAGGGCCAGCTTTCCAGTTGATGTGTATTAGACAAATCAGCTGACATGTTAGAAGATATATAAAAAACACCTGACCTCATAGGAGTAGCACTGAGAATCCCAACAACATTCAAACGCACACATACCCTTTGTCTTTCGGTCTCCTTGTACTCAAATACACTCCACACATTTCAACAAATATCTTGCATGCGGGAATGAATGGAGACTCGTACACGGATTGGGAAACATTAAGACACATATAGACGAGCACACACAGGCATGAGGACAGAGAGCAACAAAGCACTAGCAGCAGCTGAGAGAGAGAGACAGAGACACAGAGGCCACGGGACAGTGTGTCCGTCCGGACTGTTGATAATGACATGTGACGTGCAGAGTTCAGCCCATTTCCAAACCCAAAGGTGCATGGGAGAAGTCGCTAAGGATGCTGGGATCACTTTGAAAGCTGGGCTGGAATCAGATTTGGTCATGCCAAAAAATGGTTGTCCAAATATATTTGAAAGAGACACCATGGAGATATGACAAATGAGGGGGTAAAAAAAGGAATCTCAAGAGTGTGTGAGAGTCAAAGACAGAGAGAGAAAAGAGGAAGAGGGACGAGACAGGGAAGACAGGGTACATACACTGAGGTTACTGCCACGTTGTCTCCCTTTCCTCCGCTGCTGTATGAGCACAGAGAAGACACACACACACACACACACACACACGCACACACACACAGAGCCACAAGTACACCCAAGGTTTGGTCACACACAGAATTGAGAAAGAGAAATAAAGGAGACAGGGATGGATAGGCGATGACAGAGAAAAGGGGAACAGTGGAGCAAGGAGCAGAAACAGAAGAGTGTCGAACCCAAAAAGTGATGGTGTGCCACGTGGAGAGAGGAAAGAAAAAAGACAAGAAAGAGAAGGAGGGACGGAGAAAGACAGTATGATTAGACACTGAAGCAGCAGTGAAGGTGGAAGAGAAACACTTACCACAGAGACTGGGGGAGGTTGGAGCCAAAACAGGGTTATATAGACATGTTCACCATGAAAATGCTCCATCAACGGCAACACGGTCACAACAGCAATGAGGACAATCAGCGAAATACACACACAAATGGATTTGCACACACACACACACAAGTATAGTCAACAGCGGACAACCGTTTCAGGGCACAGAGAACAGTGAGAGCAGAAGAAAAACTGATACAACACACACACATCTGTAACACACAATAGCATGCTGGTTCAAAATAAATACAAATAACCCCAAAATTCTAAAAATATTTAAGCAAAAACTGTAATAGAAGAAGCAAACAGTTTAGATTGAAAACAACAACAAAATAAATAAATCAGCTTCTTGACAAAAAAAAAGGTCCGTCAGAGAGCTGTGTAAACTGCATGTATGTGTGTGCACATTTGTATTTCTCAATTCTTTGTGCGCATATGACAACCAGAGCACTCACCGGGGAATGGAACAATGTGAAATGGATGAGTGTTAGATGGAAACGAGACAACCAGGGTTGAAAAACCTCCATGCACGTGTCAGGATGAGAGGAAGAGGAGACGACAACAAGAGAAGAAGGTCTCACTTTGCCTTGCTGTGGTCCTTTTGAATTCAGGTTTGGTAGGGAGAGCAACATTTCAGCAAAACATTTCCATGTTTTAGCTAGAAATATTGTCGCCATAGCTAGTTAAATGGTAGTCACGTTACGGGTCGTGTAGAGAAAATAAATGGGACCTTTGCCCTTTACCACAACAGTAGTAATAGGAATTGGTCCACCAGTATGAATCTTTTAGACCCTGTGCCAAACTGTCTCCAACATGGATTCAAGTAACCACAGCAATACGTTTTACACCAACAAATCAGACCTTTGAGATTATGAGGTTTTCAAACCGAAATGAGATGAAGAAACAGAGGTAACGGGGGACTGAAAGGGGAGTGGAAGGATGAGAATGCTGCTCACTTGGTTGTCGCCTGGGAGGCGGGGCATGGAAGCGGCCCTGCCATGGCCTTCCATTGGTGGAAAGTGCTCAGTATCCGAGTAACCATCCTGCCCCATCTCTCTCATCTCTACCGTCTGAAAACAGAGCAGGAGAGCAGGAGATGGTGTGACGGCTGGTATGAAAACTGACAGGGAGTAGGGGGATATGCTGGAAAGTTTGTTATCCAAAGAAAGCAGAGAATGGAGGGTCTCAGAGAGGTCAATGGAGTGTGTGTGAGTGTGAGGAAGGACTTTGCCATTTTCTTTTCTTCTGTTTGTTGTTTTACACTGAACAAAAATATGAAACGTGCAGTTTTGCTTTATTGGGGGGGTTAAGCCCTAACCCTAACCCTAACATGTCACCCATTGAGCATGTTTGGGATGCTCTGGATCGGCGTATACGACAGCGTGTTCCAGTTCCTGCCAATAACCAGCAACTTCGCACAGCCATTGAAGAGGAGTGGACCAACATTCCACAGGCCACAATCAACAACCTGATCAACTCTATGCGAAGGAGATGGGTGACATGTTTAGGTTAGGTGTTTAACCTAGGGTTCGGACTCCCCTCCATGATCTCCCTCTCCAATAAAGCAAAACTGCTAGATTTCAGAGTGGTCTTTTTATTGTGGCCAGCCTAAGGCACTACCTGATGCTAATAATCAATGCTTTCTAATCAGCATCTTGATATGCCACATCCTGTGAGGTGGTAATGGATTATCTCGTGGCTAAAAGGGAGATATGGTGCTTCACTTATTCACAGATTATTAGATT